TCTAAGAATCTAATGCCTCTGCTGATCTGATAGGAGGCAGAGCTCAGATGGTATTGCGAGAATGGAAAGCGGCTGTAAATATAGAAGCTTTGCCTGCTCACTCACCACTCACCTACTGTGTGGCCTGGTTGCTAACAGGCTGCAGACTGATATTGGTTGTAGCCCCGGGGTTGGGTACCCCTGCTGTATGGTGTCAGGAGATTCATTAACCTGTGAATTTGTTTCCTTGGTTACTATTTATAAACTCTCATCGGTGGCTCATGCCTATAATCTCAGCACTTTGGGAGGCCAGGCGGGTGGATCACTTGAGGTCAGGATTTCTAGACCATCCTGGCTAACATGGTGAAACTCTGTCTCTACTAAAAATACAAAAATTAGCTGGGCATGCTAGTGGGCGCCTGTAATCCCAGTTACTCAGGAGGCTGAGGCAGGAGAATCGCTTAAACCTGTGAGGTGGAGGTTGCAGGGAGCTGAGCTTGTGCCACTGAACTCCAGCCTGAGTGACAGAATGAGAAGTTGTCAAATAAATAAATAAATTAAATTAAATAAAGATAGGCTGGTCGCCGTGGTTTGCACTTGTAATCCTAGCACTTTGGGAGACCAAGGCAGGCTGATCCCCTGAGGTCTGGAGTTCAAGACCAGCCTGGCCAACAAGGTGAAACCCTGTCTCTACTAAAAATACAAAAAAAAATTAGCTGATTGTGGCAGTACGTGCCTATAATCTCAGCTACTCAGGAGGCTGAGGCAGAAGAATTGCTTGAACCTGGGAGGTGGAGGTTGCAGTAAGCTGAGATCATGCCACTGAACTCTAGCCTGGTGACAGAGCTAGACTCTGTCTCAAGAAAAAAAAAAGAGTAGGAACCAAGTATTTTGCCTAAGGCTGTATCCCCAGCACCTAGTATAAAAAATGTTTATCAGTAGATACTCAATAGAAATTCTCACTATTTCTTAAAATATATCAACATATCTTAAAGCAATTCCCATTTCTAAATTCAGTTATTGACAATGGCACTTCTCTGGCTCTCAGTTGAAAATACTGCAATACTATGAAAAATACAAAAATTAGGCCGGGCGCGGTGGCTCAAGCCTGTAATCCCAGCACTTTGGGAGGCCGAGGCGGGTGGATCACGAGGTCAAGAGATCGAGACCATCCTGGTCAACATGGTGAAACCCCGTCTCTACCAAAAATACAAAAAATTCGCTGGGCATGGTGGTGCGTGCCTGTAATCCCAGCTACTCAGGAGGCTGAGGCAGGAGAATTGCCTGAACCCAGGAGGTGGAGGTTGCGGTGAGCCAAGATCGCGCCATTGCACTCCAGCCTGAGTAACAAGAGTGAAACTCCGTCTCAAAAAAAGAAAAAATAAATAAATAAATAAAAGAAAAATACAAAAATTAGCTGGGCAGGATAGCAGGTACCTGTAATCCCAGCTACTCGGGAGGCCAAAGCAGGGAGACTTGCTTGAACCCAGAAGGCAGAGGTTGCAGTGAGCCGAGATCACATCACTGCACACCAGCCTGGGTGACAGAGAGAGACTCTGTCTCAAAAACTAATAATAATAATAATACTGTAATAACCTCTGACTTCACCCTTTGTTTTCAACCCTCTCATATCTAACTAGTTCCCAAGTCCTGTGATTTTCCCTCTGAAATCTTTCCATCCTCTCCCTTTGCCATCTTTCCTCTCCTTCCCATTGCTACTATCTTAGTCCAAACCCTTAACCACCCACACGTCTAGACTGTCACAACTTCTCACCTGATCTCTCTGGGTCTCTGTCTACTCATATCTTCCACTCTTGCTAAAATAAAATTGGGTTTTGTTTTCATCCAGTCATGGCAATGCTCAAGAACCTCCAATGGGTCAGGTGTAGTGCCATGTGCCTGCAGTCCTAGCAACTTGGGAGGCTGAGGCAGGAGGATTGTTGAGCCCAGAAATTGGAGGCTGTAGTGAGCTATGATCATGCTATTGTACTCCCATCTGGGCAACGGAGCAAGATCCTATCTCAAGAAAAACAAAAACAAAAAAACAACAAAATCTTCAATAGTTTCCCAGCATCCTCAGGAAAGAGTCCACCCTCTTACGGATAAATTTCAAGGTTCTGGAAATCTCTCCCCTGGGAACCTGTGTAATCTTATCTTCCTCTACCTGTTGTTCCCTGTAACCTGACTTAACAGGAAAGTTAAGAAGTTAACTTCTCTCTGAAGTTAAGAACAACTCCGACACAGAGGGAGGTGGGGGGAAAGTCTCTTGGGTACCTGCCAAATTTCACCCTCATACAATGGGCCCCAATAAAACACTGGGCCTTAATAAGCACACTCCTTTTCCTTCAAGTGCACTAAGACAGAGAAGCTAAAAGCAGACTTGGGGATATGCCTGCAGCTACAGAAAGATATATTGGAAAAGACACCCAGCTCTCCCTCCCAAATAAGCACAACAAAGAGACAAAGAAGCAGTCCAAGCCTCTAATAAACTCTCCCATTCTGAACCCTTAAAAACTCTTAGTCTGTAAGAGAGTGAGCTCTGACCTAACTTGGCCAGAAGCCTCTCTCAGGTTTATTTAAAATAAACCTATCCCTGTTGACTGAAAAGTCATCCTTCATGTTTCTCTCCTCTTTCTTTAATTCTTACAGTAGTGTGAGCCTGTAGTTCCAGCTATTCAGGGGGCTGAGGCAGGAGGATCACTTGAGCCTGGGAGTTTGAGGCTGCAGTGAGCTGTGATTGCGCCAATGCACTCCACTGTGGGCAACAGAGTGAGTGAGACCTGTCTCAGAAAAAAAAAAAAATTCTGTGAAGTGCTGCACCTGTAGTCCCAGCTACTCAGAAGGCTGAGGCAGGAGGATCACTTGAGGCCAGGAGTTCATGGCTGCAGGGTGCTACCATTGTGCCTGTGAATAGCCACTGCACTCCAATCTGGGCCACATAGAGGGACACTGTCTTAAAAAAAAAGCCAGACAGGTTAGCTTGTGAAAGTTATGGGGGTAGATAGGGCCTTGTAGAGCCTGGTAAGGAGTTTGGATTTCACTGCCTGGAAGTTCTCTCTCCCAAACCACTGCTTGGAGTACTGAGTAGTCCTGGCTGGGAGGCAAGCAGGCATCATAAGAGATGCAGAAGAAATGAATATTAAAATTACTAAACTTGGCCAGGCACAGTGGCTCATGCCTATAATCCCAGCACTGTGGGAGGACAAGGTGGGCAGATCACCTGAGGTCAGGAGTTCAAGACCAGCCTGGCCAACATGGTGAAATCCCATCTCTACTAAAAATACAAAAATTAGATGGACGTCGTGGTGTGGCTATAATTCCAGCTACTCAGGAAGCTGAGGCAGGAGAATTGTTTGGACCTCGGAGGCAGAGGTTGCACTAAGCCAAGATCATGCCACTTCCCTCCAGCCTGGGTAAACAAGCGAAACTCTGACTCAAAATAAATAAATAAATAAAAATAATTACTAAACTCATAAGTGATAGTAACCTGTGAGTTCCCTTTTCCTTGGATGTAATGTTTAAAGAAAAAATCTTTTTAAATAAAAAATAAAAACCTGTGAGGTACCACAGTATCATTTTACAGATGAGGAAAATGAGACTCAGAGAGGTTAGATAACTTTCCGAAGATCACAGAGTCACCTTTGGTCTCACAAGTTGTGCACTGCAGAAGTTGTGTGTTTTTTCACAGTGAAAAACCAGTAAGGTCAAAACTCAGGACAGTCTGATTCCAAAGACTGTATGCTCTTAACTGTCACATTATATCGCCTCCCCATGGATTCAGCTGGCAAGGAAATTACAATCTGAATTCTAGTTGCTATCACAGCCATATTTTTCAAAGTCACAAAATGAGATGCATTATTAGCAAGTCAGACAGGTAGAGATTAAGATATCAAATCTATAAAACCCTAGGATATATAGTTGTGCCATCTACCTAATAAAATTACTTCTGGTCAGGTATGGTGACTCATGCCTGTAATCCCAGTAGTTTGAGTGGCTGAAGCAGGAGGATTGCTTGATCCCAGAAATTTAAGACCAGCCTGGGCAATATAGAAAGACTCTGCCTCTAAAAAACAATTTTAAAAATTTAGAAACAAATAAAAATATTATTTTTCAGGCGTTTAGTGTTATTTCCTGAATATATATCTAATTTTCCAGAAAGTAGAGCCACGATGAGAAAAAAAGAAGCTCCATAAAAACCTGTTGAGCTGGCCGGGCATGGTGGCTACCAGCACTTTGGGAAGCCAAGGCAGGTGGTCACCTGAGGTGCAGGGTTTGAGACTTGAACAACATGGAGAAACCCATCTGTACTAAAAATACAAAATTAGCCGGGCATGGTGGTGCATGCCTGTAATCCCAGCTACTTGGGAGGGTGAGGCAGGAGAATTGCTTGAACCCTGGAAGCGGTTGCGGTAAACCAGCCTGGCCACAAGAGTGAAACTCCAACTCAAAAAAAACAACAAAACTCTGCTGAGCTAAACACTTAGGAGGCAATGCTAAAGTCAACATTAAAAATCAGAATAGCTGATCTTTTCTTTTCTTTGATTTTTCATAGGTTAAATGACAATGCCTCATACCTCTCAGCCACTTTATACCTCCTTTCTTCCCCTAAAGGCATCCACATTAATTAGCTATTACACTGGCCTAATTTCTACTTCCTAATGCTAAACCTCCCTTAATTTGAGCAGCTCTTCATTAAGCCACAGCCTTGACTTTCAATGTTTTAATATACTTCGTCTAATAACGGTGGCCCAGTTGATTATCGATTCTACTAAACATAATTATTGATACTGCCTTTATCATCCCAATTGGTCTACTTAATAGTTAGAATTACTGAGTGCTCAATATTTTTGGTTCTGCAACTAAAATATAGTGCCCCCACCATTCCCTATCCGATTTTCAGGATGTCTATTATTATTGTATAGAAAAAGAATGTTAGCAACCTTCATGAAAATAAAACAGTGTATAAGGAGGATTTATGATTCATACTCATCCTACAATTTGTCTTATTCTAAAGCACTTACATTATTACTGTGAAGATATTCAATTGCTCGAAGGATCTGGAAGAGGTATTTTCTAAGTCGTTTACTCTCTAGTCCATGACAATAATGTTGTAACTCATCTAGTACTGTGTGGTCAATAAATTCAAATACCAAATGAATTTTCTTTTTCTGTCTAAAAACTTCAATCAGATTGACCAGGTTTTCATGATGAAATTGCTATTGACAAAAGAAATAAAACAAATTTTTAATTATTTCAAGCATAATAATTTGTACATATAACACCTAAAATTTTGAGAAAAAAAAACAGTAATATT